CATTACTGGCTCATCTTCAACCTGGTGTCCATAAAGACACTCAGATACACTTCTACAGAGCTGCTTTCCAGCTTGCTGGCCCCCAGCATATACTGGTATGGGGTTTTTCCTCCCCAGGGGCTGGACTTTGTGCTTCCCCTTGTTGAACTTCAGGAAGTTCCTGTTGGTTCATTTCTGCAGCCTGTTGAGGTCCCTCTGGATGGTAGCAAGACCCTCTGATGTATTAGCTACTGCTCCCAGTTTGGTGTTGTGGCAACCTTGCTGAGAGTATACTCTGCCCCATCATCGAGAACACCAATGAAGATATTAAATAGGACTTGTCCCAGCATTGACCTCTGGGATACACCAGCAGTTACTAGCTTCCAACTGGACTTTGTGCTGCTGATCATCACCCTCTGGGCCCAGACTTTCATCCAGTTTTCAATCCACCTCACTGTCTGTTCACCCAGCTGATAAATCAACAGCTTGTCTATAAATATCTTAAAGGAGACAGTGTCAAACGACTACATGAAGTCCAGGTAGACAATATCCACTGCTCTTCTCTCATCTACCAGGCTAGTCATTTGATCATAGAAGTTTACCAAAGCTGGTCAAGCATGACTTCCCCTTGGTGAAGCCATGCTGACTACTCCTGATGATTTTCTTGTCCTTTATGTTCCTGGAAATGGTTTCCAGGATTAGCTACTCCATGATAGTATTAACGTTAAACAAATTTATACCTCAGTATAAGTAATTTAAATAAAATTACACCTCAGTCTTATAATAAATGATGGATTAAATATATTTTCCTACTGAAACTATTCTTCCATAATTGAATATATAATAACACAATTATTTTGATGGAGGGTCCTGTGGTTCAATGGAAAATTATGGAGGTAAAACCTATCAATCAGACAACAGAATTTCATTAGTTTATAGCATCAGATATAAATGCACATCATTTACTTACTGGGAAGTAGTCAGACATCCTCAGCAGAAAAGCAATTAAACATCCTGAGGGCATATGAAGACACACTGGTATAATCAGGATGCATTTTTTTTCTCCTTGCCTAGTTTCATTTCTGCCATTGAAGGCAACCAGAGAATTCCTTTTGAGTGATGAACAAAGGGTGGGCATGACATTATTAGCAGTCTATAGGTGGGTTTTTTTTGTTTTTTTTTTTTTTTCCCTAGAGTTATCAGTGAAAACTGATGAAAGTAGTTGCCTTGTGAATATGTTTCAGTGAGTGGATTTATTGCTGTTGCTAGTATGCTTGGATCATTCATACTGTGATTTTTTGCAAGGTAATGTTTGCAGAAATAGATTTCTTTGTAGATCAATAATAGATGTTCTGGCACTAGAGCGCTGGTCAGAATTTTCAAGTCCAGCCTTTCCCTCTCTTGCTTTCTTCTATGTACAAATGCCATTCCCACACTGTGTTAAAATTGGTTACTAGCCAATCATTTCTCTCAGTTTCTAGATCAAAAATTTCATCTTTTTTTCTACTAGCTTAATAAAAATGAGTGAAATTAATTTTACATGCAACCACAATTAATTTTTAGAGTAATTTTTAGTACAATGAGACAGCATTTGCAAAGGTTAAGATATTTGATGTGAGATAATATGAAAAAATACAATCTGAAATAGTTGTTTAGAAGTAAAATAAGTCCAAAACCCCACAACACAATAATTTGTTTATCAATATAAAAGTTATATAATATTTTGTTTGATTGAGAACATGATAAACACATTGACTTAAGTAAAAGCCAATGTATTTGCTTAATGATTTATTTGCACATATTTGTGGATGCTGTATTGGTAGTTTAATTAAATTTTGTAATTGTTATTTATTTTTGTTTCTTTGTAAAAGGCCTTATTTACAAGATAACTTTTTTTGTCAAACACTTCTTTTTATTGGGGCTTCATAGGTTGGTAAAATGTTGAGACTTTATTCCCCTGATTAATCAGTCTCAGAAACTCTCTTGTGAATGTAAGTCAACACAATACAGGTCATACTTCTGCGCAGACAGAAAACTATAAAATAAAATCTTGTCATGCTGTTACTTCAATGTTCTATCCTTCTGTTGTAAGACTTTCCAGTAGTATTTGTACACAGAATATGGAAGGACTGTAACCCCAAACTAAATAATTCTAAAATGACCTTTAGAAATTACTAATTCCAGGGTTAGCCTCTGTTGAAAATTATGTGACATGTAGCATTAGTACTGGAATTAACAAACAAACAAACAGCAAATTAGAATAAAACCAAAACTGCCTTTGAACAACTGAATGAAAGAAATCACATTATGTGTTTAGTAAGGACTTTGCAAAGCAGGATTCATCTGCTGTCTATAGGATTGAGATTGCTGGCAACCATTGACATACAATATTCTGGGATAACTCCATCTAGTCTTCAGCTGCCTTCCCAGAAGAGCACAGTTCTCCTGAAGATTTTGTATCTGCTGAGTTTGTGTGGATCTTTCAGCTGATTTACAGCATTTCAGATGGTGCTACTTAAATATATTTATGTGAATTAATTCCATTTTAGATGTCCACAGTGTAGATATTAATATATAAATGCCTAGTTTCACTTTATAGTCAAGGAAGACAAATAGGTACTTCTAAGCTGTGGTTGATCTGGTGTGTTATCTACCTTTTGATGAAGTAGATTACACTCTAGACATTTTTTCCCACTGGTTATGAAGAAGCCTACATCAAATATAGATGTTTGCTCTGTAGATGTCTACATTTAAGTATGATGAATACTATCGCCAACAAATGGCCTCAACAATATAGAAGAACATTCCAGTTCAGCTCATGAGTAGTTATCTCCTGTTCTATCTCCAAGTTTTCTTTTTCCTTTTCTTCTCCTTCTCCCCCTTTTCTCATCCCCTTTGTTACTCAAAGATTAAATAAAATTTGAAGGGACAGTAGTGCTAAAAATTAGGCTGTTTCATTTTGGGTTATGTTTTCTTCATGTAATAGGTGACTACCAAGGAGCTATTTAAACTATTTTTATGCTACGCAGCAGTTCTTGGATATTTTGAATAATTGAATTACATGCAATGTGCAGCAAAATAATACTTAATAATGTTATGTTATTGTCAGGACGTTTTACTTCACATTTGTTCCTTGCTATTAATATTATCTAAGATATAGCTCATTTAAGCTATATCCTAGCCTATTTTTTAAGTAGTATTCTGAGAAAATATTCATAACATCTTTAGAAACTTCTTCATTGTTATTTTACTAGTAAAATGTCAAATTTCGTTGAGTGAAAACATTACTATACATCTGAAAATATTTTTAGAGTTACATTTGCATTGGAAGCTTTAGGATAACAGATGCACATATGGAAATACATACAACTTTAAATCCTTACACTTTCCCTTCAGAAGCAGTTCTGAAGCACATTTATTTGCTTCTGTTACACACTATTCTGCTTTGTATGTTAAGAAATTTTTAAAAGTTGAATACTTCACCTGGAACACTACTTTCCTTGAAAAATCTTTGGGGAGCTAGTTCCATCAGGAACTAGACACTCTGTCATATCTAACTATTGTCTGGAAATATTGTTGTCTGGAACACATCCGCCTGAGCATGTTCTCTCCCGCAAGAGCTGTAAGAAGTTCTCAAGTTAGCCATTCAATAGAGTCTGCTCCCATGTTTCTTCTAAGATGGATAATAGACTCAGTTTTGCCCAAGGAGGGGGTTCCAAAGGATGTGTTCCAAGGCACAGAAGGTAGATATGTCTACTAAAATTGTTGCTCACATTTCTTCTTTTGGAAAAGTCCTTGCAAAATTGTATAGAGACCAAAGTACACCACTATAATTTTCAGAAAGTTGTTTTTCAAATAGGACTTTTTTTCTGTATAGCTTAGATAACAATAATTAGTGTTACAATCTTTTTTTGTTTATTTGCTTATGGGTTTATAAATTCATTTTATTTCAGCAATTATTGTTGTTTATTGATTCTGGGTTTATAAACAGCAAAAGCAGACCAGGATGTAGACAGACTATTGCCTTCTCTTTAGCTGCTTTCATATTTATTTTAGTGAATAAGATATGCACAGCTCTGCATATTCTGAAGGGACAGGCAGGGAAGGAGGAGCAGATGTGTTGCCCTCTACTTCAAGAAATGTATAGAGTGTGAAGAGCTGTCTGAAGAACAGCCACAAACAGGTTGAAAGCTTCTGGGTAACAATTACAGATAGAGGCAACAAAGGGAACCATATGGTTGGTGTCTACTTCAGGCCACCTGATCAAGGGGAGTCTATTGATGAAGCCTTCTTTCTCCAGCTACAGGAGGCGTTGTGCTCAAAGGCTCTAGTCCTGCTGGGGGACTTCAACCACCCTGACATCTGCTGGAAAAGTAGCACATTGAGCTGTAGGCAATCCAGGAGGTTCCTGGAGTGCATGGAGGATAACTTCTTGAGCCAGGTGATAGACAGCCCTACCAGAGAGGAGGTGATACTGGACCTGATGGTCACCAATGCAAGTGAGCTGATCAGTGATGTCAGGATTGGAGGCAGCCTGGGCTGCTGATCATGCACTGGTGGAGTTCACAGTCCTGAGGGATATGGGTGAGGCAAAGAGTAAAGTCATGACCTGAATTTTAGTAAAGCAAACTTCCACCTGGTCAATATGTTAGTTAATAGGACCCCCTGGGGAACTGCCCTCAGGGACAAGGTTGCAGAACAGAGCCAGCAGACCTTTAAGGATGTTTTCCATAGAGTGCAGGAGCTCTCAATACCAAGGTGTAAGAAATCAGATAGGCAGGGCAAGAGACAGGCATGGTTGAGTTGAGACCTGCTGGTCAACCTGAACGGTAAGAAGGAAATGCATAGGCAGTGGAAACGGGGACAGGTATCCTGGGAAGAGTATAGGGACGTTGCCTGGTTGTGTAGGGATGCGGTGAGGAAAGCCAAGCCACGGATGGAGATGAGTTTGGCAAGAGAGGTCAAAACTAATAAACAAGGCTTCTACAGGTATGTCAGCCAGAAAGGGAAGGTCAAAGAAAATGTACCCCCTGATGAGCAAGACTAGAAAACTAGTAACAGCAGATGAGGAGAAGGCTGAAGTACTCAGCGACCTTTTTACCTCAGTGTTCTTTGGCAACATCTCTTCCCAGGCCTCTCGAGTGGATGCATTACAGGGCAGGGACTGGGGGAGCAAAGTCCCTCCCAGTATAAGAGGAGATCAGGTTTGTGACCATCTGAGGAACCTGAACATCCATAAGTCTATGGGACCTGATGAGATGCATCCCAGAGTCCTGAGGGAATTGGCTGATGTAGTTGCCAGGCCACTCTCCATGATATTTGAAAAGTCATGGCAGTCGGGTGAAGTCCCTGGGGACTGGAAAATGAGAAACATTGCACCCATTTTTAAAAAGGGTAGAAAGGAGGACCCTGTGAACTACTACCCTGTCATCCTCACCTCTGTGCCTGGGAAGATCATGGAACAGATCATCCTAGAAGCTATGCTGAGGCACACAGAGAACAGGGAGGTGTTTTAGGACAGCCAGCATAGCTCCCCAAGGGCAAGTCCTGCCTGACCAACCTAGTAGCCTTTTATGATGGAGTGACTACATCAGTGGACAAGGGAAAAGCTACAGATATCATCTATCTGGAGTTCTGTGAGGCCTTTGACCCGGTCCCTCACAATATCCTTCTTTCTAAATTGGAGAGGTAAGGCTTTGATAGGTAGACTGTTCGCGGATAAGGAATTGGCTGGAGGATGGTCGCATCCAGAGAGTAGTGGTCAATGGCTCAATGTCCAGATGGAGATCAGTGACAAGTGGTGTCCCTCAGGGGTCCGTACTGGGACTGGTACTGTTTAACATCTTCATCAAAAACATAGTGGAATTGAGTGCACCCTCAGCGAGTTTGCAGCTGATACCAAGCTGAGTGGTGAGGTTGATATGCATAAGGGACCTCAGCGAGTTTGCAGCTGACACCAAGCTGAGTGGTGAGGTTGATATGCATGAGGGACGGGATGCCATCCAGAGGGATCTGGACAAGCTTGAGACATGAGCCTGCATGAATCTCATGAGATTCAACAAGGCCAAGTTCAAGGTCCTGCACCTCCCTAGTTTGGGGCAACCCCCCGGTATCAGTATGAGCTGGGGGATGAAGGCATTGGGAGCAGCCTTGCAGAGAAGGACTTGAGTGCACTGGTGGATGAAAAGCTGGACATGAGCCAGCAATGTGCATCTGCAGCCCAGAGGGACAGCTGTATCCTGGGCTGCATCAAAAGAAGCATGGCCAGCACGCTGGGGGAAGTGATTCTGCCCCTCTACTCTGCTCTGGTGAGACTTCACCTGGAATACTTCATCCAGCTCTGGGCCCCTCAGTACAAGAAAGACATGGACCTGCTGGAACAGGTCCAGAAGAGGCCCACAAAAATGATCAGAGGGCTGGAACACCTCTCCTATGAAGAGAGGCTGAGAGAGTTGGGGTTGTTCAGCCTGGAGAAGGGAAGGTTCTGGGGAGGCCTTATTGCAGCCTTTCAATACTTAAAGGGTTTCTATAAGAATGATGGGTGCAAACTTTTTAATAGATTCTGTGGCGATAAGAAAAAGGGTAATGGTTTTAAGTTGAAAGAGGGTAGATGCAGACCAGATAGAAGGAGGAAATTTTTTACAATGAGGGTGGTGAAACACTGGAACAGGTTGCCCAGGGAGGTGGTAGAAGCCCCATCCCTGGAAATGTTCAAGGTCAGGCTGGATGGAGTTCTGAGCAACCTGATTTGCTTGAAGATGTCCCTGCTCACTGCAGGGAGGTTAGACTAAATGACCTTTAAATGTCCCTTCCAACCCAAACCTTTCTATGACTCTATGATTCTATTCTATGATTCTATTTTAAATAAATTTATTGTTCATATATATGTGTGTATATGGAGGAAGAGGAAAGAAAAAAATCCCTTTTTCCTGAGAGTAGTGTCTAGGGACATATTTAATAATATCCTCTGGAACAAAGTTCAACATATGATTAGTCTGTATCGGTATAATTATAGTAGTTTGCTACCTGCTGGATACATCAAAAAAGCTACTAAAAAGGCACAAAAGTTCAGGGAATACCACATAATTCTTTCTGAAAAAGAATAGTAATTATTATATTGCTTAATTTTAAGTAAAGATGTTCTTCTTAGTTCTGAAGCCATACAGATACATATCTGATATGATTAGTTGACTTACAATGTGTGAAATGATAGATCATGACTATAATGGTAAACTATCTCAGCTAGAGTTCTGCATCTTTGAAATTTTCCTCTTGTGTTTGCCTTCCAGAACTGACTTTGATAGTATCATCATCTTATCCAGAATCTTGTAGTTCAGGCAAATAATTGGTGAAATATTTTTGTTCATAGTATTGTTCCCTGAAAGTATACACGAACATTTGGAAATATTTTGTGGCCTCTCCACATTTTTTTTATTTTTTTGAGTTTTAAATGAGATTATGATATAGTGTGATATATTGTGAAATACAATAAATACATAAATACATTTTAAACATGACCACTCTTTATATCGATCAATAAAAACAATGGATCATATCTGATTTATATTAATGATGCCTATACCTTGCTCTGGGAAAATGGAATAAAAAAAAAAAACAAAACCAACTTTACTTGAATTTGTAGATCAAGAAAGAATACTTGTCCCTGTGCTTCTGATTACTGTGCAGCTACTAACCAGATCAATAGCATAATTTAGTAATGCTAATCTGGTTTAAAAAGATGTAGAATTTAGTAATAAATCAGCATAGTTTTCCCTGCAGTCTTTATTCTTTCAAACAATAACAGACTAAAATGTAGAATTACCTGGAGGTTTTACTCTGATGTTAAACTGATTCAAGGATGCCACCTACCTTTGGTCTGCTATTTAAGCTTTTTCAAAAAAACAAAAAAGACAAAATGTTAGATGACTGGTAAAAGCAGAATTTTCAGCAGGTTCATTACAAAGTTTTAAGTTATTTATTCATCTTACCTAAATCTCAGTTTTTATTTTGAATTGTTCCAGCATGCTCAACTTTAAATGCTGGTATCATCAAAGCACCTCTTTAGTATTCTAAAATATTCTGAATCAATATAATGAGCACTACCAAATCTAGCTGTCTTTGGGTTTGATGAAACTAAATCTGGTATTTAGTTTGGAGAAGAGAAGGCTCTGGGGAGACCTCACTGCAGCCTTCCAGTACTTGAAGGGAGCTTATAAGCAGGAGGGAGAGTGACTTTTTCATGGGCAGACAGTGGTAGGATAAGGGGAAATGGTTTTAAACTAAGAGAAGGGAGATTTAGGTTAGATATTAGGAGGAAATTTTTCACCCAGAGGGTGTTGTGACACTGGAACGGGTTGCCCAGAGAAGTTGTGGATGCCCCATCCCTGGAGTCATTCAAGGCCAGGTTTGATGGGGCCCCGGGCAGCCTGATCTAGTGGTTGTCAACCCTGTCCACAGCAGAGGGGTTGGAACTAGGTGATCTTTAAGATTCTTTCTAACCCAAGCCATTCTATGATTCTATGAAAACAAGGAATCTGAAAATATGTCTTATCACTAAGAGTATTTATTTTCTTGCCATTCAGGCATATTTGCAAAGATTTTGAGTATATTTTGTATTGTACATTTTGTACGTCACATGTCAAACATAAACAGTAGAGGATGAATTTCCAAAAAATATACACAGTTGCTTTTCACAGTTACAACAGGTAAATGCTTGTGCACTACAATAAATTCATAGTAAATGAGTTTACTGCCTCTTGTATGTTGGATATTGACAGTTCTGCTGTTGCTATATGTTACTTTTGCTCCATTTGTGCAAATTCCCTTAAAATTAAATGACTTCAAGTGGCAATCAACAACCGTATTTACCAAATAAATAGCAAGTATATTTGCCAAATCCAAAGTTCGTACTGTAGATCTGTTCAGGTTTGATATCTTAAACCTAAGTTGAAATAGGTTGTTTATTAATAGGTTACATAGAATTGCTTGCTTATGCTTTAATGATCTGGATTTATGAAATATTTCATTTGTACTATAACATATCTGGACTAGTTATTGGTAGCTATTTCTAACCCTCTTCTGGCAGAGGTATGCATCGTGCAGAAAATGATCTCCTGGCTCAAACAATAATATTTTACTTTTTCCTATACATAAAATATGATCCTATATGGTGGTTACTGTTTCTCGTTTTGTTTTACTACTGGAAATTTGTACAAAGTTGCATCATTTTCTAATTTTCAGTTGATCCAGAAGCTTTTAAGAAGAAATCACTATAATAACTGCAAGAATAACATTATCACATGTTAACATGCCAATTTTTTTTATAGCCAGTTACTATTATGTAGTGTATAGTTTTTATTATATTCTTGAATTGTGAAAATTATTAGCGACTTCATTACTACTTCTTCTCTTAAAAATGTGACTGTTTCACAGAATATGATACAAGACAAATGTAGACTAATCTATGCATATGTGGCTTTATACAAGTACACTTTTCAGTTATATGTATACCATTCTTACTTTTTTATGTGAGTTACAAAGAGAGTGGGCCAGAAATCTTTTAATAAAACATGCTTCTCTGAAAAATGTTAATGGAGCAAAACCAAATAATAAACATTTTTTGCAGGTACATCTGTTTTGAATAAAAAATTTAAAAAGTTTTCTTTATCTCAGAAAAGAATTTCAGATTGCAGAAGATTGAGAGATTACATCAGAACAGCCAATAATGTGCTAGATCACAACAGAATCATCAATAATTGTGAGATTCACCAGAGATCAGTGGAAAGATACAAGCCAAAGCCTATGATTTGAACAAAAAAAATCAAATGTAGTTATTTTTTCATTTTCCACAGTATTCCCTAAGGAGTCAGATTGTTTTCATGGAGTTCTCTTTCTTTTTTATTTATAAGCATTGTTAAAAAATAATTAAAAAGATCTTACATTTCTCCAGTGAAATGAAGAAAATATTTTGCACCTTAATCATATGAGTAAAGATACTTATTTTTTTCTGGTCAACCCTAATTAAAAAAAAAAAAAAAAGTATCTTGGAACACTTGTAAAGGAACTTCTATCTTCTTTAACCTCTATCCTCTCCTCTCCAATAAAATACACGTAGTGTGGGATGTTGTTAATTGTGCTAAAGAAACTCTGTTTTAGCTTTCTGACACTGTTTATAAAGACATTACTTCAACTACAAAAAGACAGATGCTTTGTATCAATTTGGTGGTATGCAATTAATAAAAATTATTTTTTTTTTTTAAATACTGTTGCACTTACAAAGAAATATATGATAATAAAATTAGATTTCTTCTTCTGTTTAATGGAAAATAGGATTATCATTTAGATGGATTAACTAATTATGCAGTTTTTCTTAACATCTTGGATTTATTGTTATTATGAATATAAATTTAAGTTTTCTGTGCAATAACACTTAAGTATTAATATTGTTGCAAAATATATTTTACTATTAATAAGTGAAATATACTTCAACTTGAATTAAATACTAATATCAGGTCCTGTACCTGGGTCAGGAAAATCCTCATTATCAATACAGACTAGGAGATGATGTGCTGGAAAGCAGCCCTGAGGAAAAGGACTTGGGGGTAGTAGTGGATGAAAAGCTGGACATGAGCCACCAATGTGCATCTGCAGCCCAGAAGGCCAACCGCATCCTGGGCTGCATCAAAAGAAGTACGGCCAGCAGATTGAGAGAGGTGATTCTGCCCCTCTACTCTGCTCTGGTGAGACCTCACCTGGAATACTGCTGGATGCCCTCAACACAAGAAAGACATGGACCTGTTGGAGTGGGTCCAGAGGAGGGCCACAAAAATGATCAAAAGGCTGGAGCACCTCTCCTATGAAGACAGGCTGAGAGAGTTGGGATTGTTCAGCCTGGAGAAGAGAAGGCTCCAGGGGGACCTTGTAGCAGCCTTCCAGTACCTGAAAGCTGCCTATAAGGGAGCTGGGGAAGAGCTGTTCACAAGGGCATTTAGCAATAGGACGAGGGTAATGGTTTTAAACTAGAAAAGGTAGATGTAGGTTGGATATTAGGAAAAAGTTCTTCAATATGATGGTGGTAGATCATTGGAACAGGTTGTCGTGGAGGCCCCATCGCTGGAGACATTCAAGGTCAGGCTTGATGGGGCTTTGAGCAACCTGCTGTAGTAAAGATGTCCCTGCTCACTGCAGGGGGGGATGGACCTTTGAAGGTCCCTTCCAACCCAGTTCTTTCTATGATTCTATGATCATTTGCACAGAAACTGCCATAGTTTATTGTGGAGCCTTTGTCCTGTTCTGTTGTAACTGCAAATCTAATTGCACATAATTTAAATGTGGACCAAAACTTAAGACTCTTTTTTTATTTTTTTAATTTTTTTTATTTTAAATAGTGAATGTAATATGTTTCAGCCTTAAATCTAGTTATGGATTTCAGTTTAAATTATTATGTCCAGGCTTACAAATTTTGTGGCTAGAACAACACAAACTATCCAGAATATTTTTTTCTTTACACTAAGAAGATTAAGAAGATTTATGTGTAGTTTTGTCTGCTTTACTCAGACAATTAGAGCAAATCAGCTACTTGGCAATGCAATTTTCCATGCCCTCTCCATCTGGGCCCTTTTAATTCTCTGTACTTGACTGTGTTCCCTGGGGTACAACACACACATGTATGTGCATGCACACACATACACGTTTCTGTATGTGAATATGCCAAACTGGCCTCAGTGTTCTTACATTCCTGTTTACACCTGTAGAGAAAAGTATTTCTCCTCCCTATGGAACAAATTACAGAACATACATCAGTTTTTCCAACTTGCCTGTACTGGCTTTTGTTCATAGGGACGTGTCCTTCAAACAATTACCAGAGCCTCAGTAATATGAGCTTTCAAGGACGTGGTATTCATCCATCAGAATGGCATCCACAGCTTTAAAGACAAACACTCTCAGTTCTCAATTATAACAATAATTAAAGACCATTTGTTGCAGACATAAATATTAAAAAATCCTACACTTAAGTATTCTGTCATTTTTATCTACAGGAAAATTTGAGAAACTTCTACCATTTTCATAAACACAGAGTTAGCATGATTAATACATGAGTGGAAACAATATGCTTTATTTTCTTTTCTAATGATATGGTTGAATTTGGCTCGAAGTTAAAAATCACTATATTCTTAAAATGGAGCTGAATTTTTTATCCTTTAGCATGAAATATGCATAGCGTGGTTTAAATTACAGGGCATAAAAAATGACCATGATTCCGATAGTTGCATTTTACACAGGTTCATGAAATAAAAAAAATTACTTTTACCTTTGATCCAGTTTTATCCTACTTCAGCCAGATTACAGATGTCAGGAGTAAGTTATGTTCTTCACCTTCACTGCATTTACTCAGTGGAGTGCAGTTATTCAGTTGTTATTTCTAGACAACTGTATTGCATGAAGCACAATTAGTTATGTTGCCCTTTGAATGTATCTTAATCAAAATGTAATGTAGTTATTCAGAACTGTATTAAACATGTAACAGCTACATAAATAAGTGAAATGATGGTCCTTTGAGGTGGTCAGCAGAGTGATGATATCTTATAGTTATTATAATTCATATTGCATGAACCAAACCTGTTAGGTTAATTACAATAATTTATTGTAAAATATGTTAAAATTACATGTAATTTTTAATTGGTAAATATCTTTTATTTACACCGGTGAAAAGCCTGTTTACAGATTCATATCTCAGGTATGTTTCTTTATTCCTAAAATATATTTACTTATTTTATTTCCTAGGTTATTCAGATAAATTTTGAAGAGTTTGATCTGGAGATTGGCTATGACACGCTGACAATTGGTGATGGAGGAGAAGTGGGTGATCCTAAAACTGTGCTTCAAGTGTAAGTCTTTTGCATTTACAATTTGTATGCATTACAGAACTTTATTAATGTGCTTTTGGATGGGAGTAAATAGTGATTAGAATCAGGTAAATCTCTACAAAACTAATCTTACTGAGGTTCTAAAATGACTGAAGGTGACAGTTTAAATACATTGTTATACATTTAGTATTCTGAAGTCAGAAAGAGATGGGCTAAACATCAGAAAAGGAAAAGATAAACTAAAATCAGAAATTTTAAAACACATAGTCTGTACATTCATGTGTAAACATGTACATCTTTAGGGGCTATTGTGCTCCCTTTTGTAAGTGGGCTCTCAAATTAAAACGGTATAAGAACATATACATACATATATATGCACTTAACAACCATTTACTTCAGAATCCATATTTCTCAGATACTTAACTCGTGATGATAACTGGTCTTACAATAATAATGTCAATCTCAAGAAGACAAATTCAGAACCTTATTACTTAATTTGTAAAATTTTGCAGAAAGCAGTATAATCATGGAATCATACAAGGGTTTGGGATGGAAGGGACCTTAAAGATCATCTAGTTCCAACCCCCCTGCTGTTAGCACTGCCATAATCCAGTGATTCTGTTAATTCCCCAGTCATTTGAAAATGCAGAACACTCTAATTAGGTATTACTTGTAGTCTGTCATTTTATGTAGCTCCAGTGCCATTCTGAGTAAATAATTTGATGTTTTGTAGGACAAATTAATGCCCCTTAAAATTCATTGTATTGCTTTTTTACAAATTTGACTAAATTTTCTGAAAAAAAAAAAAAAAAAAAAAAGGTGTTTATTGGTTAGAAACCATATTTTACCTGTAAGAGATTGTATGCTATTTAGAAAAGATTTTTGGAAATGGAGAAATAATATTTAGCTGTTATTTTTAAATAAACTGACCTCTCAGTAACTACCTTATGTTATCATTAGTTTAAATGAGTTACAAAAGTAAACCACAGATCAGAACAGAAGCAGATGTTATGAACGCTTAGTGCAAAATGTATTTAATCAAAACCCCAAAAAATAGCAGGATTAGGATTCCTTAGAATGATGCTCCCTGCAGTATATTTAATTGAAATGTATTAATACTATTTTTATATATTGGAACATTCCATTATTCACCATAAGAATGACATAATGAAATTGTTTGGTTTGAATGCCCTAAAACAAATGTTCACTTTTTTTCTTTTTTAATTCCGTCTCATTAATATTATTAATTGTAAAACTTTGAGCAGAGAATAAAGGTGTTTCATGATGTTCAGATTTTTATAATTAATTCACGCTTAAGATTTATTCTTCAGAGGATATACAATCTGAGCTTTTATTTTTAATTGTTTTGTAATCATTCTATTCCCTCTTATCAATGGAGAGACCAGGATTTGGCAAGGTATTCTAGGCACTTTAGGATAATGCAGTTTCTTCAGTGGATTGTAGATGTGCTAATTGTTACTGATAATAGTTTTGAGAAGTGGGAAAGTACTGCAATTTCTGTTTTATAAACAGTACCTTCTGTTTATAAACCTAGCCTTCAAAATATACTTATAATACTGCTGGAAATCAATTTCACATATTTATAAATTCCTAAACTATCTTGAATATCCTGTCATGTGGAAAGAACATTTATTAAGTACAAGTTCACCAGGTCTTGTTAACATTGAACTTAAGTATTGTTTTTCATTGGTATCTGAATTACAGTAACACAGTGAGGCAAAATACAATATTACTTATAATTTTGAGTAATGTAGTAAAGCACTCTGTCTAGATTTTTTTTTCATTAAAGATCTTAGTATTTTATAAAGGTGTGTCTGATATAAAAGAGTTAATCAGAATTGTCAAGTGTTAACATATGATAAGAGAATCTTTTCTGTAAATACCTAGGTAAATAATTTTAAGGAATTATTACTATGCCGCAGCAGGAACACCTAGATGAGATTACACAGGAAGGTGTCCAGCGTCCAGGTGGGTTCTGAATGTCTCCAGAGAAGGAGACTCCACAACCTCCCTGGGCAGCCTGTTCCAGTGCTCTTTCACCCTCTCTGTAAAGAATTTTGTTCTCAAGTTTAAGTGGAACCACCTGTGTTCCAGCTTGCACCCATTGCCCCTTGTCCTATCATTGGTTGTCACTGAGAAGAGTCTAGCTCCATCCTTGTGACACTCACCCTTTATATATTTATAAACATTAATGAGGTTGTCAATACATCAGTCACAGTACTTTTTCAGGTTATTTGGAAGTCTCCTTTCAGCAACTTGGTCTGAGAGTAGCTGCAGGTGACTCTTGGTATAATACACATCTGGGCTCTGGTTCCTGTAACATGCATTAAAATCCAGTGCAGAAGGCATGAAATTTATTCTTACTCTTTCAGTATGCTTGCTGTGTTGGGTGTACTTCTAAATAATCTTCCATATTACAGATCATCTTCAGCAGAGAGTGTTGCAGACTTCCGAGTATCTTCTAACCTAGTCTTCAGTGTACTCTCTCAGGGGGACTGTATGTCACTAGTATGTGGGAGGGGTAGTGCTGGAGGCTTAGAGGAGGAGATGGGAAACAGCCTGCTGAGTATCGTAACTGTTAAGCTGTTTAATGAAAAGGGAGGCAACATAACCACATGTGTCCATTTCCACTGTTGCCTGCTCAGCTTTTGAAAGGGAAGATGTAAGAACCTACTTCCAGGAGAAGAATCTAAGAAATGAATCTGGGGTAAAGAAAGTCATAGAAACCCCAGGAGGAAAGAAGGGATAATTCATAACTGCAGAATTTTATTATTATCTTAAATAGCTTCCTTCACATAATGCTGTTTTTTTCTAGATGTTATTGCTCCACGGCCCAAAAGTCTTCCCAAACATTTCACAGGGATCTCTAAGCACTTGAATAGAGCAACAAGTGATTTCTGTTTTGTTGGTTAATTCTTATTTTCAAAAACGCTTTTTCAAATGGTATTTTTTCCCCACGTACTATTTAATTAAAAAATATTGCTTCTGAAAAGTGTATGCATTTAAAAAATGTATTTATAATTGACTTACGAAAATAGAAATTATAACCATTTTGATGTCTGTTTATCATAGGAATTATTCTCTTTGACACAGCAAAGAGATTAATATTCCCAATGGCCTTAATATTCCCAAAATGTAATGTCAGTCACCAGCGACAATTACAAAACTCTGTTAGCTGTTACATCAGTGTTATTTCTGAGGAACATCGTGTTAATTTATTAATTTGGCAAAGACTGAACTCACTGAATACACTTTCCCTTAGTGTGGGAATGAGCAGTTTGTACATTATTTTGGCCAGGCATTTACTTGTTCAATTCTGGCAAGAGTCTTTGTAGTAGCTCCATCTGTGAACACAGATGTGGGAAATAGACATGAATTTCTGCCACAGCAGAGTATTTCATACAGAAACAAGCTAAAAAAAAAACAGAGGCTAGAACTAAAATTAACTGTGAAATATATTTAAAATAGTTCATTTGAAGTTCCAGCTAGCTTTAAAGAATGGTTAGAGCTGCAAAAACCAAACTATCAGTTTTCACTCTTACACAGTCTTGTGCTTGTGATCAATTTTACAAGAAAGGAAAATGTTTTGGTACTTTCCACCACTCTGTTTTAACTGATAAACTCTTACCAAATCTGAGAGAAAGTTTTGGGAATAGAAAAGCAATTTAAGATAAAACTGCAGCTTTCACAACATTTCCTTTTTGCTATCACACTATTTCATTCAGCAAACAGAATGAACATTTTAGGATTTCATTCACTTGAAATTTTTTGCAAACAATATGAAAAGTTAAAAAAAAAACAAAAAAACAAGAACAAACCAAAGTGAGTTTCCTTCTGCATAATTAATCAACTTCCTGTAACATTAGGAGGTTTTAAAGTTGTGACACCTGGTATCTTTGTTAATGAAGGAATGAATGTCAGCCTGAGTCTGTCAGGCACATTCTTCCATTGTTGTGGTAGAGGTGATGAGGGGAGGTAAGACAGTGCAGGGAACACATGGACCTTGATAATAGTATTGCTATTTAAGAATAACAACTTCCTCTTAAATATGCGATGCATGTATTCCAAAGTGGGTAATTATATACCAGATAAATACTTTTTTGGAACAATAAATGTAGTGCCTCATGATGGTCCATTTGATATGTCTGAATGTATCTTGAGCCATGCATAGATAACTGCTAGATAAGGTTCAGGATTAGGAGAGATGCATGTCTTTTTGGACCAGCAACTGAAAGTAAGATGAAATATTTCAGTGCAACACAAGCAGTAGTTGCTTGTATTTATAGTCTGCTATTGAATCTGCAGTCATTGGAACCTTGAAAGCTATATTGGCTAACCAGCTAGTAGATAACTAATTTGATGTGAGCTGAAGACAATGAATTTAAAACCAAAAACTAAATACTTAATAGTTATTTACATTCTTTACAAAAAGAAATTAAAAAAAGCTAGGTACTTAATGGCTTTATTTTTTATTCTATCTATAGATTAACTGGAAGCTTTGTACCAGACTTAATTGTGAGCATGAGCAATCAGATGTGGTTGCACCTTCAAACGGATGAAAGTGTGGGCTCAATCGGTTTCAAGGTTAACTACAAAGGTAAGAATACATTATTGGAAGTGAATTTAATGGTGTACCAAAATTTAAGCCAATATTATGAAATGTTTTTCTTTCATAATAGGGGATGCATTCTATTTCCAGTTCTGTCAGTTTTAAAACCAAGAAAATGCAAGCTGAGTTGAAAAAAAATACAAAAAATAAATTTCTTCTCTTTAAATGTCTTATGTCACATGAAACTGCACACTTTTTATTCGCTGTGTTCTTACAGCAGTTGATTTTTGGCATATAGTTGCACATTTATTTTCTGTTATTTCATGTTGAAAAATATTAAAATGCAATAATCCTTTGATTCTTTAAAGCTAAATGCATAAAGGAAATTAATACTTCCTATATTATTTTCAAAATTAATCATGCTTACCACAACAGAGGAATAACACCATAAGTGAAGAATTTGAATTATGTATGAGTTTTGGGTGGAAACAAAGAAAAACTTACCTAATAATGTAGTTCTTTATGGTCTTAAAATATGAGGGATCTGTAATGCATAATTTAAAACAGCTGTTGCTATTTGATGCTTCCGAGAGAACATACAGTTTTCATACCACATAAACAGCAGGAGCAACCAAAACCTTAAGAATAATATATATTTGTGCACTTCTGCATTATTACGGAATTAGTTATATTTGTTATTTTTATATTAGATTTAACATGGCTGCATGTAATTCTTGAAACAAATTTTTAAATTGCATGGTTCCTTCCTGTTGCCAAAACCAGGTAATAAATAGTATGATTATTAGTCAAAATTATTCATCAGCTGGAGTTAGAGGAAAGGCAAACGTTAAACCTACAACTATTTGTATTAGAAATAGAACTGATACTGTTGAGGATGGGGAGATTGAATAAGTATTTGGTGAGTAAACCTGCACGATATGACATGCTGTTTTTTTCTGTCCGTGACTTTCCTTTGGCTGTTCATGTATATGAAGCTATAGTGGTATGGTACAAGTGTGCTTGTGAAATCTTGATATGCAGATCTAGTGGACTAAGGTAGAAAGATCTTACTATTTTGTTTTAGATTAGTTATTAAGACCCAGGATTTCCACATTCTAGCTGTTGAAAGGGGCAAGAAAAGTGATTACTGTAAACAAGTTTAAACATTTTTAAATATAGCAAAACTTGAACCACAGCTGAGTGGATAAGGAAGCTTTTTAGATCTGAACTCAAAATAATTTGCACAGATCAAGTAGTTACTTCCTTTATTTACAGGATTCTTTTCTAGTAAAATTAATTTTATTTGCAAAAATTTTAGTTTGCAGAAAGCAGATGATTATTGTCTAGTGTCTTATAATTTACCACTAAACGTACCATTATGTCTTGTTTTATTCATGAGTTACATTTATTCTTAGAAACTATAGTTCTGCAAGATTAAAATTAATTTACTATGAATATGTAGAAGGGGATAGAAAAAGTGAACTTGCATAGTCCCATCTCTGTATAACCAATTTTGTGATTGCATGCCTATATATTGAGTCTGTATTTCTCTTTTGTGCTACACTAGTACTTTACACTAGTTCACTAAGTAGTATTTGACTGCATCAAGCATTGTTTGTTTGTTTTATCTTGTATTTTCCCCCCCAGTCTAGCGTATAAGATAGATTTATTTATTTTTTATTTTTATATATATATATCTGTTGCCTTTGCTTTGATCCCTTGGAGGATGTATTCATTAGAGATGCCAGAAACCAGGAAATGTTCCCTTAAATAAAATGAGAAGGTGGGAAGGGGGAAGGTAGGTTTGGGGGGTTGCTATAATTTTTTCTTGGTTTTAATTTGTGTTTAAGTCCTTTTTGTTAATGATGGCAGGGTCTGAAAAGAGATGTCTTAATAGGTAGTATTTTGGATAAGCATCTGTTTTGCAATTGAAGTTTTAGAGCTGATGAGTTGGAAGTTCAGAGAAAGTCCAATGAGGTAAACTAAGTAATTTAGTTAGAACAGTGCATTCAGGGCTGTGGCATATCACTGTCTACTAGACAGTAAAAAAATTGCAAAGATTTTTGTCTCAAAAATGTTCAGAATATACTTAGAAGTCTTTTGATTTCCGGGAGTCAGGGTCAGAGGGCATTTTAGTTTAAGTGACTTCATGAATTATTAAAAGTATGCCCAGCTTGCTTGTATTTCTCTTTAATGGACTAGATCAAGTTCTATTCCTGTAACTTGTCCCTTTCCACCTCAAAATTTCCACTATCCACTCAGGCACTATGGCTGGTACTGTATCTATTTATATGTATTATATATTTAGATCTTGTAAGTTTCTGCTTACCTAAAAGTTGCAACTCCATTGGAATTTTAGATTAGATCCAGCAGAGTGATTTTTTTGAACTGAATCTTCTTCTGATCATTCCTATTCCCCTTGCTTTAATTTTCATCATGAAGCAATCTCAAAAGGTGCAAATTATATTCCTTTGAGGAAATTCATAAGATGCATTTGAACAGCATCGGGAATAGCATTCCTCATATGCTCTAGCTCCTAATTGGCATTTATCAGGACTTGATAAAGCTTGTCCAAAGTAAAACCACTAAAATAGAATGACATTATTACAGATAGTATGGATACTGTATCTTATATTGTTTCACTTTACAGAATTGCTTATGTCAGAATTAATTACCTGATAATGTACTTGATAAGAGTACTTGCTGATAGCTAAAATGATTTCCCACTAAAATGTTTTGATACCTAAATATCTGCTTCTGTGCATCCTGAGACTCTGCTAACTACAGAGGTACTAGAGATCTGTGTGCCTCATCCCATCAAAGTTCATAAAAACACCCTTAAATCTAGCTGACATTTAGATCTGAGTCTGGCAGGCATTTTCAAGAATATAGGTTGTTCTGAGTTCTGTGTGGAATATGATGGGAGGAACAGGAGGTTGTGGGATGTCATTACCCAGTGCTTTTTCCCCATTGTCCTCCAAAATGGTATATTCACTGAAGGTGCAAGATAGAAGGTGACATCCTTTCTGATTGGGATAGAATGAGTATGCCATACAATTTGTAATGATAGAAATAGACAAATGAATTTTTAAATATGCCTGCATTAGTAGGTTTTCAGCTGAAGAATTATTTTAAATTTATGTTATTACAGGAAGTAACAGTTTATTCTCTTGTATGTATCTGCATTTGAGAGAATTTAGTAAGTCTTTGTGAGATAATAAAAATCTTTGTATTCTTCTAGATTAAAATGTTGCATATGGAATTATTTTATGGTTTTAATAGCTGGATCCCATTATAGTTATTTAAATATAAAATAGATATTTAAACATCGGCGAGGGTATTTTAAAGTGAATAAGTTGTTGTTTTGAAATTCCTTTTCTAGTATTCCATAAAATAAAACTAATTAGGAAAATAGAATAATAAATATCAGGAATGGTTAGGACAAAAATACAAGCACTACCTTATTAGACATATGTTTTCTCCAAATACCTGGCTACACACTAATAAAACTTCTTACATTAGTAGGTTCTCCTGATAGCTCTACCTCCCATCAGGACACAATCTGTGTGATATTGTTGCTAACTATAAGAACACATCAGACATATTCTAATTTTAATTACATAAGAAAATGTAGTTGAAGAAAGTTAGTTTAACTGGAGTGTAATGGTAAGTTTTGGAAGAAGCTTGTCTAAGATGCCAAGCTACATAGGAGTATAGGTAAAAAGTTAATTTGAAGCAAAGTAGGTTTGCTTATTCAATTTTCTGCATGGATTATCTAATTTTAGGATATGGGATTTTCTCTCTGACGCGCAGTATTTCAAAAGATTTCTTTTTGCTAAAGCATAACTTCCATCTTGCTTCAATCAGTGTGACTTGTGTTCCCGAGTGCTTGCGGTACTGTTGCAGCCTGGGGTAGCCTTCTGGAGTTCATGATCTGCATTTCATCCTGTTTTCCTAGCAGTAAACACTGAGTTGCAGACAAATTTGAGGGTTTTTTTGTCACAGATGGCACAGAGATATTTTTCCATGATTAACTGCTCAACAACACTTGTGTTTCTGTTGATGACAGAACATGGAATGATCTGAATTTGGTAGATAGTTTAATCCAACTTGAGTCGTCTAACTGTGTCTAGAAACGTATTTTGGAAATATGTGTGAAGTAAGATACATGGGCTTCAGATAAAATACAGACTTCAGGAAGGTCTCATCTCAACAAGTTGTAAGAGTATCTTATCTATGAAACATATTTTTATGTCCATTCTCCAAAGAAAAGAAATATAGCTTTAATTATTGTTGTTCATTTTACAGACTAATTAAAAAAAACAAAAAACAAAAACAAAACATAAATTATTGAACTTGGTGAGATTGTGGACAGTTTCATTGTTTGATTTTGACTTTTGCAAGACAGGTTATTTTTTTGTTTGTTTGTTGGTTAAATACTACTTAATCCTTCTTTTATGAGGGAGAAGGAAGTGAAGCTTTTCTGCTTCTGCTTTTCTGCTTTGTAATTAAACCCCTGTCACATTTCCCCTTGCTGAACTGTTTGGTCTTACCTATCTCAATTTGTGTTCTCTTGTACTGTGTTCACTGTTCTGATGGTTTCTGTTGCATTTGTACCCACTCTCCGTGTTTCTCATCATATGTTTTTTGTGTTTCTGTGTGTTTTGTGGTGCAGTAATCATGTCAATGATTTATTTACTTGAATTCTAATACACTCAGTTTTATTCCTTGTGCATCCTAACTTCATTTTGGGAACAGAATTACAAGCAGAGATTTATATTAATGGCAAAATTCCCTGTGCTAAATCAATACAAATTATTTTAAACCTTGTAAGTCTAATGATTAGTTCAAATCATAAATACAAATACTGCTTTGTATGTATTAAAAAAAAACCCTAAAACAATCAAAAACCACAAAAAAAAACCCACTTCTTTTTGTACAACCCCACTAACCAATAGATAGTTTATGAATACAGCACAAGTTTCTCTGTACCGGATTCTATTTCTGCTGAAGTGTGTTATTGTCAGATTTTGTAATTCAAGCTCATT